TCAAAAGCTTTAAGAAAGGACAGTTATCAAAGGTGTGCTTCTCTTGGTATTACTGGTGCTATTAGTTAAGCTGACCATACGTCCTCTTTTTTATAGGACAATTACCTATTTTAACTGGCTGTCATCTTTAAAATATTTAACAATATTCCAATTGGCCAGCACTATTTTTAGGCTATTTGGAAATGATGGCCAAAATCATTCTATTTCACTTTTTCATAGTGTATTTAGATGGATTTAGTGTGGATTTAGATATTTATCAATGAATATGAATATCAATGAAAATAAGAAACTTTGCAATAGTGATGTTATTTTGTCACAAAATATTCGTTATTCGGATACTTCTAATAATAATTATTATATGTTATATGTACAAGATATGTAAAAAATTATATACCTTTTAACGTAAAAATCTTTAATTAATGGAATATTGTAATTATCAGTGTTTTTAAGGCTAAATTTAGCCTTTTTATACCCACCATCAAAAAAGATGGGGGAAATATTGGTCATAGACCCACAAAAGTATATATATATATTTTTTAAATTCTAATCATTTTATTTCACTTTTTCATAGTGTATTTAGATGGATTTAGTGTGGATTTAGATATTTATCAATGAATATGAATATCAATGAAAATAAGAAACTTTGCAATAGTGATGTTATTTTGTCGCAAAATATTCGTTATTCGGATACTTCTAATAATAATTATTATATGTTATATGTACAAGATATGTAAAAAATTATATACCTTTTAACGTAAAAATCTTTAATTAATGGAATATTGTAATTATCAGTGTTTTTAAGGCTAAATTTAGCCTTTTTATACCCACCATCAAAAAAGTTGGGGAAATATTGGTCATAGACCCACAAAAGTATATATATTTTTTTTTAAATTCTAAGACGATCTACCCAAACGGAATGAGATAGAAGATTGACATTTTCCACAAATTAAGGTTTGCTTAGTATTGAAAATGGGCGATATCGGTCCACAATTGACCCTACCCCTCATATAAGGTCCCCTTTAGAAAATGACTATAATATCCATTACTGTCTTAAAAATACGAATATAGCGATGAAATTCGACAAACATAAGTTTCTTGCGATCCAAAATCTATCAGCCAAATTTTAAGTAGATCGGTATAACGTACAAAAACCTCTATACCAAATTTTATGGGGAACGGTCCACAATTGACCCTACGCCCATATAAGGTCCCCTTCAGAAAATGATTATAATGACCATTTCTGGCTTAAAAATACTAGTATAGCGAAGAAATTTCACAAGTCTCTGACAAGCCCAAATCTTTCCACCAAATTTTGTGTGGATCGCTCATTAACGCTCATTAAAAATACGAGTAGAGCGTTGAAATTCGCAACGAATAAGTATTGCACTACCGAAACCTTTCTATAAAATTTTACGACAATCGGTCCATACTGCCCATATAGATATGTACATACCGTCACCTAAAACGCAAACGGCCCTATCTATCATTTTTAAAATTTTACAGCAAAAAACTATTTAAATTGAAAAGTTTGTTTCTATCAACGCGATTTATTAGTAGTAAATAAACAAATTATTTAATAGTGAAACGTATCAGTTGTTATGATAGCTAACAATGGCGTATATAAAAATGGATAAATAAACTTTTTACCTTCAATATTTAAATGTTTTTGTAGATAGGGCCTTTTGTTTTTTGTCAATAAAAACGCTAATTTTCGGTCGGAGGAGTCCAATTTTTTTTTGGTTAGTTAGGGCCGTTCAAAAATTTAACAAAAATATTTTATTTTTATTTTTTTTTTTTTTTTTCTTTTCAATAAATATTTTGTTAATTCAAAAGAGCTCGGTCAATAATTGACTTAAGATATTTTCCAAGTATCACCCTTTACATTCCTTTTATGGCATATGGTTTGATGGTGGGTATATGAGATTCGGCACAGCCGAATATAACAATCTCACTTGTTTTGTCTTACTTTTTAATCCTTTTAGCCTTTTCTGACCTTTTTTAATGTCCGATTTAGCCTTTTATTTCTGACACTGGTAATTATTTTCAAAATACATATAGAACTGGAATTGGTTGTTAGCAAAATTACTCGAAAATGTTCAGAAGTTTTCACATGGGAATTAAATACGTAATTTTCTCATTTTAATAAGAAAACAAATCATTCACTTTACTTTAATAAACTTCTTTCTTAAAATCTTTAAATTTGTTTTGTTTATATTAAAAAAAACAAATGCATAAAAATGGTCATAATCTTTTTCTGTAAAATATGTAAAAAAAGTGGTTAAAATAATTGGTTTTTTGGCGTTAGATTTAGCTCCTTTTAACAATCCAAAAGTCGCATTTTTTACCCTTAGAGCTTTTTTTTGGAAAATTTTACTTATTTTGTTTTTAAAGAAATGAAAAATATTTTTCAATAACATAAAATCGTAATTTTGTAGTTTTTTGCAGCTGCAAATAACAACACGGACCAAACGTAGCATTTAATAAATCGTGATTTTGTAGTCAGATTTATATCGTGGCTATACAGCACATTTTTATAATTAAAAAGAGCATCCCTCGCCATCTCTATACGCTATCTTATTTCCTTGGACATATCCAATTGGTCATTTACTAAAACTCCAAGATATTTGTAAGTTTTCACTATTTCCACATCAACGTTATCAATTTCAGTATTGGGTTGGGTACTTTTCCTGGTTATAACCATGTATTTTTTTCGAAATATTGATTTTGATACCATTTATTTCGCTACATTTTGAGTGTTTTTGTAATAACTTTTGTAGCCCAGTACCCCGTTTCTGTGAGTAAAAAGTATTTCTGTAACTTAAAGTGAGAAGAGGCAACACCAAATTTCCAATAAAACAGCTGTCAAAAACATAAAAATAAAAAAATAAAACAAAAAATTGCAAAAATATAGAAATTAAATGAAAAGTGTTCATAAAATTATCCCAATAAATGCATATCGGAAATTCCTCCAATTTTCTAAAAAATATTAATAATAATAAACAATATTAATTTTAGTCTTAATTAATTATAAAAACATCATTACTTTTTTCATTATTTTATAGAATTCATGCATAAATTAAACTTTTTTCCTAAAAACTTTACTTTCCGCACCGTTTTTTTGACAGTTCATGTGAAAAACTTCTAAAAAAATTTTGTGACTAACAGCTACGCAACGTAAAAAAGTGATGCCCAATCGTTGCTTTGATAAAGTATGAAAAACTAATTAAATATGCTTTAATAATATAATAGATCACATGTTTCATAATACGAAATTGCCCCCCACTACATCCCACATCCTCCACAGACTCAAACGACTCAGGTAGAGCTCGTCCTTTCAAAAATCATAAAAATAATGATTATATCGATCTGGACCTTCTAAATTAAACATTTTTTCATACAAAAAAACAAGATGTTGATATAACTTTTTATAACCATATGTTCACGTGCAAACTGAAGAGGATTTCTCATTACGAGTGGGGATTGGAGTGGCTTTTATTAATTTTTTAATATTTCTAAAGACTTGGCCCTTTTTGTAGTTCGTTTTACTGTAGCTAGGCTTGCTGTAACACCCACTTTTTCTCTAATTTTTGATACAGAATCACTTGACTTGGAGGTAAATTTTATGAAATCTCTTCTGTCCGCTTTTGTTTTGACTCTATATGTAGTTCCATTTATGTTTTCTTAATATTCAAATTGTTTTCTTATAAAATTGCGAATAACATTCTGAACTTGCCAAATTTTTCTTGCCAAATTCGTGTGATTTTGAACAGTTTCCAAAAACGCTAGAATTTTGTAATTTTATTCTTTAGTTAATGGCTTAACGCAGACACAGACACTAGAATTTGAATGGATTTTACACAATGCCAGCAGTAAACTGATTTTATTCTGAATGAACCTAATCAAGTGAGCCAAAAAAAATATAGCTAAAAAACGTAGTATGTTAGAAAAAAAATTATTAGGTATTGCGATAATTTTTGTCTCACTAGTGATACCTAAGACATCACGTTATTATTAAAAATTTTAATATTACTAATTAGTCCATTATTTTTTGCAAATATAATTTGATTGTAAACAAAACAGTGAACCTATTTAAGTGAGCGGGAGTGTTTTCTCCTTAAACTGTTCATGGAATATCTTCTCCAAATAAATGTTAAATAATAATAGTGATAGTATACATCCTTGTCGTACGCCCTTTGAAATTGATATACCATCTGTTAGTTCCCCATCGACATTAATCTGCGCTGCTTGGTTCCAATATAGATTACATATGCATCGAATTATTTTATCTCTATTCTATCTCTATCTATTAATTTCTCGTGTTTGACAGTATCAAATACCTTTTCATAGTCGATAAAGCATAGATAAACATCCCTTTGTACATCCTGACAGTTCTGACAATAATGCTTCTCCTGCCCCTAAACCTTCCGTGAAATTAAATTGAGTTTCTCCCATAACCTCCTCGCATGTTGTATATATTCTCCTGTATGTTATTCTTAGAAATATTTTCAATACATGGCCCATAAGGCTGTTTAGCCTATATTTACTACATTTCCTAGCGTTATTTTTCTTCGGAATGGATATAAAAGTTGATACCAACCAATCCTTTGGATATTAACCTGTTTAAACTTATCTTTGCTCTGTTTTGTGTTGTTTCTTATTGTTGGATCTTTATTTTCTATGAAGGATATCACAATGGACCTTTTAATGGTGCTTAACCCTTCTTAATATAAAATGAGGTTTTGAAATTGTTTATATTTTTATGTAGAGCTCTAATAGTTCTATGCATAGGATAAAGACGCGACCAATCAAAACGAATGGTCTAAGATATTGTCAATTAGTATGCGTGACGTGATGTGACAAAAAATAAAGTTTTCAGTGGAAATACCAATATGTATGTGATTTAATTTTTTACAGAAAACTAATTAATTTTGGCGATTTTATTAACAGTTGTACAATTTCTCTATATATTTAAAAAATCTGAATGCAATCAATTCTCTTACCAATATTGCTTCTTTAGAATATAACTCCGCATCGCAATTATCGCACAGATATATATCAAATGGAGCCGGTTCCACCATCTGCTGATGTATATTAAGACTACTTTGTCCATTTTTTGTCTTTTGTTGGAAAAGACACTTACGTAGTTTTTGTGGCTGATCATATGACTGAAAATAGAAAATCATACTTAAATAATCTGAATTAAAATAATCTAATCTGAATAAATAGCATAATCTACCATAAATAATACCTATCGATTGTCTGTCAATATACCCTGCAGGAAATGAATCGATAATTGTCTAAATGTCACTAGTACTATTATTAGAACAGCAGACACTAGTTGTAAAAAGGCACCACTTGCAGACAGATTTTTATTTTACATGTGTTGGAAGAAATAAATTTATAAGATTATTAAAATGTAATTTTCAAACATTTTGCATAAAATAGACGACATATGCAAACATTTCCTTTCAATACAGAGGATAAATATTGAAGGGCTGTGTAGGTCCAGTTGCATGCAGATCCCTATGTAAGTAAGTCTGTTAAATTTAAAAAATTGCAATGAGTTTAATATTTGTTTTATCGTACGACATATATTTTTATAATGAAATGGCGATACCTTAATAAAATTTTGAGACATAACATAACCCACGATATCATCGTTGTTAATACGGATAGAAACCAGAATTTGTTCAAACTCTTATTTTACATTATTAGGTAAATGTATTTACAAAATATATTAATTTTTTGGTATTTTTATAAATAAAACCATATACTAAAACTAATTTTGTATTTATTTTCATTTGGAACTACGCAGGAGGATTACAAAGGAGCAAAAACACCAATTATGGGGACTTTTAGTGAACATTAGAACTAGTAATAATGTGGTTCTAAAGGACCCAAATTGGGTTCAAGTGTACTGTTATAAGTAACTAATGGTAATCGTAATTTTTCAAACACACTCAATGCTAATTTGAGCATTAAAATGGTAAACTAGTAAAATACATAAAAAACAAGTAAGAAAGTATAGTCGGGCTTGGCCGACCATATGATACCCTACGCCAGTTGTGAATAATAAATGTGATTTATTTTTCATAATAAAGCATTTATCTTGAATATTACCTTGAATCTGATTTATTTAAGCAATTTATTGACGAAAAACTTTTTCTAAAAGAGGCTATATATTGGGGATAGGAGCAAATGTGGAACGCAACGTTAACAGGAGCATTTGGAAAAGGACACATTGATTTTTTTCAGTTTTTGCTGCAATTTTGACATTAAATAACACTAGTTTACAACGATATGATATAAAACCTATATGGATTTCTTTATTTTGGCCGTCCAAAAAAAATATTTAAAAAATCTGGGACGTAAAATTATTGTATTATTCATAAAGAAAGAATATGCTAAAAAGGGGTTAAATTAGGAGGTGTGGCATTTTTTTTATATTTTAATTTTTTTTTTTTTATTCGTTTTGGTAAGGGATTGTTAATTTTACACGCGATCATATTTATACAGTACATTTGATCGTTTTCAAATATCTTGTAGAGAAATGCTTATTTAAGAAAAGTATATAAATGTAAAATTGTGAGAGACGTGAGAAATTGTGTGAGCTTTTGGGTCAGTGAGAGAGATGCCACGGTTTACCTTATTGATTACTTTTGACGAACATTTCTTCTGGGTTTTATCTTCATTTGAACAAGATCTTGTAATCACGGAAAGTTTAAATAAAATAATATAAATTTGAAATAAAATTCATTTATTCTAATTAAAATGAACTATTAAAGAATAATTTCTATAAGATGAACATTTACTCTTAAAAAAAAAAGGCAAAAGCAAATTAAATGAAAGTTTCATAAATAAATGAAGTAAAAAGTTTATTTAAAGAAATAATAGTTTAAATTTCTAGAAAGAGGTTATGACATAACCTAAAATGAAATTTCGGTCGAAAAAGTTCTGTAAAATTTCATCAGTTATCACAAAATTTCATCAAAATCACCAATAAGTGAATTTTTCATCATCCTCATAAATAAATGTAAAAACATATTGGCTGACTGTCGTCCAAATTCAACTTTACCAAATTATCAGTACAATATCATTGGTTTTAAAATATAATGATCATTAAGCTGGAAGAGATAGTTATGATGTAATTTTAAATGTTCAAAAGAAAAATGTCAAAATCATCTTGGTTTACGGTACTTTCTTAATGTCATCATCATCATGATCAACTTAAAAACCAGTGAAGAGTTCTAGTAAACACATCCCAAAAATTCTGACGTCATCAATATACAGGAGAGATCTACCGATAATCAATTTGCTCCAGAGATTTTTCATCATTAATAATGATAATTATTTAACATAGCCGATAAGTGTTCTCAATTAACATTAAAATATAATGAGACTGTTAATGCTCTGAATATTAAGTAAATAAATTACAGTGGTAAACAAATTTTGGATAAAACAGTTTCACTATATAAATGTTATTAAAATTTATTAACTAACATGAATAACAATAATAATTAAGTGAATATTATTATAGTAAAACAAAAAAAAAAAAAAAAAATAATATAATTTTAATGGATTCTTTTTGCATTTAATGTTTTTTTTTAATTTGAAAAATTTATCAATTAACACTACTAGCATGTTTGAATTTACTTTGTAAATTCTTTGCAGAGCTTTTGTTTCAGTTTTAAGACTGAGTTAAGTTCTTGTAAGGTTTTTAAAAATTTTACTAATGAATCAGATGTGTATTTACAATACAGATAAACTAATTATTTCTTTCTTTTAAATCTAGTAACTGCGATTGCGAATGGATTGAGCTCAAGACATCGTCGCCGTAAGGAAGTATAAGTAAACAACACATTCATTTGATTTAATTTTACCCAAATCCTCCTTTGAGGATAACAAACTGTAAGTTGTGAAATCAAACATGTTAACAATTGAAACAATTTATATTTAATTATTTACTAACATTAATTATTATATACAAAATATCAATCTTGTACAAACGTACTTTCGAATTTAAATATTATTCTCATACTTTGTTTAAACTAATTTTCATAGCGTTTAATCGAATGTTAGGGAACTTAATATTTTGTAATAAATGATTTTTATTGTAAAATTTGAAATGAACTAGAAACCTTTTATCGGGAATCGTGGTTACAGGGTAATATGGATAATAACTAACTCTCTTTTAGTGAGTAGTTTTGGGAATGACTAAACAAACACTAGTGACACAAGGTCATTTGACGGTATTGGGAGGGAATAAATAAAGTGTCTTGCGATAAAAACATCAATCGCATTATGAATACAAACAAACTTAGAGATAATTTTCATATTTTTTTTTTGTATTAATTGTATAACTCTATTATCATCTAATTAGTGGAATGATTTTTTTAAACTTTCCGTTGCCAATGAGATTAGCTTCGATTTGGTCAAGAACCACTCCCAAACCGGCGAGCTTAGCCCTCTTCTCACATTCCACGCTCGACCTATCTGAAGCAACCACACAAAATAAAAAAAAAATATATAAAATTAAAACCGGCATTTGGTAACAGAGATGGCGCCCAACGGTGTTGCCTTCGGTTAATACCGTAAAGATTTTTTATATATAAATAAAATAGTTTAGTCCTCTACATTATTTCAATATTTTATAGTGTGTAAACTATACTCCTCCTTTTTTTTACATATCTGTCTGTCCTAATTGGGTTTGAATATCTAATATAGCAGTGATAGTATGTACTTTAGTCATAATAATTTGAGGTTAGTCAATGTAAAGGAAATCTTAATTTTCACGTTTGTTGACTTCAATTATGAAACAGATTTAGATTTATTTGGTTTTAGAGTAGCTTCAATAGAATTCTGTTTAGCTACCATGTAAGTCATGACTAAATGCCTTTTGTTAGAGATGTTTGTCATTAGCGACATGAATCAAATTTTTAAATCATATTCCATACATTAATATATTATAATTGTTGAACTAAGTTTGTTTGTAATTCCTTTTTATCTATATTACCTTGAAAACGTAATCCACTTTTCCCAATAGTCTTGATTATACAAAAGAGAAAGATTTTTTTTAATATAATATTTTTGAAGTGTTATGTCGCTAAAAAGGCGTAAGACAAGATTTTTAGAAAACAACGAAGAAATCTTAAGTGATAGCCAAATTGATTATACATTCGACGAGGAGATTGGTAATCAGAATCCAGTTGTTAGACGTCCCAGAATTGAGAGAAGTCCCATTGTTACTAGAAATAGGAGTAAGACAAATAGTGATACGACTGAAGTTTCTCATTTGGACACTACTAAAATGACAGAAAATTCTAACCAACAACCAGCTTCTGCAGCATTAACTGGTGCTTCTGGTTCTACATATATCTCAAACACGAACGGTTTAGAAACTATGTTAGAGAGAGTTCTGACTTTGAATCATAATTCGTTTATGAATGAGATAAAAAGTTTAAAGAGAACTTTAGTTGATACTGTTAACAGGGGACAAAATGATAATCATAATGCAAATTTTTCAGGAATTTCCCATGGTTCACCTATAAATCATGATATGAATTCTGCACATACTGGACTTAATAATCAGGCTAACCATACTAGTAACTCAAGAAGTTTAGCACCTGTTAGAATCGATAAATGGAATTTGCAATATGATGGTACTCATGATATTCATGATTTTCTTTTTAAAGTAAATACGCTTCGGCGCAGATACAATTATACTGAGGACGAAGTTTTTTCTAATTTCCATTTATTCTTGAAAGGAAAAGCTGAAACTTGGTTTTGGTTTTACTTACAACAAAATCCTACTTCAGACTTTTCAAGACTTATTGAGGCTATCATAAAAGAGTTTTCTAAAGTTGAAAATGATTGTGATAAAATCGTTAAGATGGTGGAAAGGCGTCAATTGCCAAGAGAGAGTTTCGACGATTATTATACAGAATTGGTCAATATGAATTCCCGATTGAATCACCCAATGAATGATCAGAAGTTGATAGAGCTAATTAAGAACAATGCTAGGGAGTCATTAGGTTCTTTACTCTTCTCTTGCGAAATTTTTAGTTTGGAACATCTTCGTGAAGCGGCTCGAAGAGCCGAAGGGTATATAAGTCGCCAATATCAACTAAGACAGCATAAACGATGTGTGTCTGAAATAGATTCGCATCAAGAATTTGAATTGAAG